GGGCCAGGGCGGGAGAGAGCAGAGGAGAGACTGTCTTCAGGAGTGGGGCCTACGTGTGAGGGAGTCACCCTGACTATGCCATCTCTCCCTTCACATCCTCCTCACAGGCCTGATCTGATGGAGGTCAAGAGGTGCCAACTGCTGTGAGGTGGGGAGCCCTGAAGGCTTGGACACGGCTGTGCATGTCACCGCTGCCTTTCTGGGAGAAGGTATGCCAGGCTGGGCGTGGGCCTTACTTATCACACTTACAGGCCTGGAAGAAACTACATCAGCCAGGGATCCCTCAGCCAACTCAGAAGACAGGCTTGCCGGGGGGGGGTCACCTGTGTGTGTTTTTTTTTTTCAACATTTATTTTGGGACAGAGAGAATGAGCATGAACGGGGAGAGAGGGGCAGATCGAATCGGAAGAGGGCTCCGTCAGATGGAAGCAGGCTCAGGCTTAAATAATCAGGGGGGGGGGACCGCGGCGATCGTGGGGCTGGATCACAAGCCTGACTCTAACCTGAGATCGTGACCTGCTCACCAGGCTGAAGTGGACGGCTTCCTTGACCTTCCAGAGCCCCACACACCTGTGTGTTAAAGAGGTTTCTGCCTCCTTGTGTGTTGTAGTAAAGAATACCAAAGAAGGTAACAGCTTTCTTTCTCACCTAAAGCACAGAAAGGAGGGCAACAAATGTATGTTTTTACACGGGAAATAATACAGGTTTGGTTTGAGGATAGAGGTAAGAGAAAGCCCCTATTATCAACTCACCCAGGGAGTGTCTTTGCTACGTGTATTTTGAGGTTCATTTGGGGGAAGATAAACAATTACCAACATTTTTTTTTAAATGATAATGTCAAATATGGATGGGACTAAGGCAAATCCTAGAAGGACAGGGGTCTCACCCATATGATGTACATGTGCTATTTACCTGAAAAAATGGCTCACTGGAGGGGGGGGGGATCACCAGCAGGAAAAGTAATTAGTCATTACCAAAAGGTGTCAGTTCAACAGTCTGAGTCTACATCAAGCTCATTTTTCATGTTTGGTTTTACGAAACTTTCCTTTTTTCCCTTGAGAATTATTTTAGTTCTTCTTTCTACTCCTCACTTTTAGAATCCTCTTTACAGGTCTGTAAATGATATCAGTTTCTTCTCTTAAGACAGCCATAGGTAATACCTATTTAGTCAGAACCACTTTTTAATTTCTTTCTTATATGGACATTTTTTTGAAAAATGATTTCTTGATTTTTAATTATCAAAGTTATAATAGAGTAAGTTAAAAATGAAAGTTTGTCACACAAGCCCATTCTGCAGAGATAATCACTATTAACAATTTGGTGTATGCAATTGGTGTATGCAATTTGGTGTATGCAATCACTATTAACAATTTGTATACTTACTGATACTTTTTTTATATAGATGAGATCATATTAGGTATACTATTCTGCAATTTGCTTTTCTTCATGCATTGATGTATCTTGGGGATGTTTTCATGCCATTACATACTGATTTGCTGTGTTCTTTGTCATGGCTGAATGCTATTCCATTCCCCTTTTAATGCCCCATGATGTATTTTGTTAATTCTGTGCTGATAAAATATTTAAGGTGCTTATTATTTTGGGGAGAGAGATATTTTAAGAGATTCTGAGAGTGTCATTTTTAAAAACCTCATCTATGGTTTTTAATGGCAATGACAAACATTTGCAAAGTTCTCTTCACATATAACCTCATCTTCCCCTTGTCATAACCGTGTAATGGAGTCACTACCACCAATTCACAGACAAGAAACAGATGAGATCACGGAGTCCCGTCCTGATATCTGGGTGCTCCCTGTCCCTTTCCACGATATATGAAGGCACATCCTTTTTGTCCTTGATGACCAGAATTAATTATAACTGGATGTGCTGCCTGAGGAGAGCCTTCATTTCTTTCACCCCTGCAGGTTATTTCAAATAGTTTATTGGTCCCTGATAGTTATTCCTCTCTCACACCATGGCAACATCATACTTCTATCTCAATGGCGTTTTTTTATAGGGTAGGTGATAGACAAAGTTGTCTCATTCTGCCACCATTTTTGGATTTATAAACTCATAAGAAACAAGGTGCCTGAAGGGCAAAAGAGGAATAATTTAATAATAACCATCTTTGACCTAGAAATAATCAGTATCCATCCTATCGGTTTCTGCTTGTCTTGGTCAGCTAGGGGTGCTGGAACAAAATACCACAGGTGAGTGGCTTAAACAACATACATTTATTTGTCACAGTTCTGGAGGCTGAGTAGTCCAGGATCACGATGCCAGCAGATTTGATTTGTGTTGTGTGCTCTCTTCTTGGCTTGCAGATGGCCACCACCTTGTTCACATGACACACACATACACACACACACACACACACACACACACACACACACAGAGAGAAAGAGAGAGAGAGAGAAATCTAATCTTTCTTCCTCTTTTTTTTTTTATAAGGACACTAATCCCATCATGTGGTTACCACCCTCATGACCTCACCTAAACCTAATAACCTCCCCAAAGCTCCACCTCCAAATAACATCACACTGGGAGTTAGAAAGTCAATTTGTGAATTTATGGGGGACACATACAGTTTATAACAATGCTGTATTGAGATAGTATGTCTTTTTCTGCTTCCTAAATCTGAGCCAGGGACATGTTTTTGGTTATTGATATTGTAAAATAAATATATCAGATCCAATCTATCAACATGTATTGAGATTCTACCATATACTGAGAACACTTTAAATACATTATTTATTACTCTCATATATACAGAGGAGAAAACTGAGTCTATGAGAGGTTAAGTGACCAAGGTCTAGTGAGAAGCTGATCTGAAATTCTCACCTGCACCTGTATGCTTCCAAAACCAAAACACTTTAGGACACAACATGGCTCTACAGGCAAGTTACCAATGATCAAAACAAGTTGTAAGTGAGTCACTGTTGGACTCAGTCATTATTGATACCCCTTTTAGCTCTAAAACTGTGCAAGTTATCTGGAGAAAGTTGGGTTGATTTGGTCATGATGGCTATTCGCTTTGACCCATACTCAGGTTCTGGTTTTATGGTATCTTTTACATCTGGGAATCATTTTGCACACACACACACAAAAGAGATCATAGGCTTTTTGTCTTTGATCATTTAGTCAAAGTAAGCTAACCAACACAAGCAAGGTGAGACTTTTCTTTGATTTGCAAGGGAAAAGATAACAACTTTTTGACAATCCCCAAGACAATAACCTTTAAAAATAGAGGAAGTAGAGTAGGGTAGATGTGAGGTTAGGGGGAAAAATATAGAAATGGAATCCATAGGCATCTGGGTGGCTCAGTCAGTTAAGCGTCTGACTTTGGCTCAGGTCATCATCTCATGGTTTGTGAGTTTGAGCCCTGTGTCGGGCTCTGAGCTGGTAGTGTAGAGCCTGTGTGGGATTCTCTATGTCCCTCTCTCTCTGCCTCTCCCCCACTCATTCTATCTCTCTCAAAAATAAATAAACAGTAAAAAAAAAAAAGTGGAATCCACTCTCAACATTAAGTCAGAATATCTCAGATTGTTTCCTGAAGAAGAGCTAGGAAAAGATTGATCTTTATTGTGTAAAAATGAATGTGTCAATAAATAAATAAATGGTAAAAATAAATAAATAAATTTATTCAATTAATATTTATTGAATCTCTGCCACATGCCAAGCCCATGCTAATTTGTAGATATATAATGATGAATTTGCTCACACACAGCCTTTGCTCTCAAGCAACTGGTAGTTTAATGGTAGAGAGACACAAAATAGGGAAGTATAATATCTTAACCACAGTAATGGAGATGTGAATAGGTTATTCAAGAACTCACAGGAGGGGCCTGTCAAACTGGCTTCCCTAAAGTGATGCCCAAAGTGAGCCTTAAGGAATGAGTAAAGTTAGCCAAGTTAGCCAAGAGGGATGGGAGAGGAAGAACATTCCAGGTCAGAACAAAAACACATAGGTCATGGTGGTCAAAGAGCAGTTTGAGGAAAGTAGAGAAGAGAGATGAGGCTTGAGGAGTAGGCTTTTGGGAAGATGTGTTCTGTTTGTGGTACATGGAGTCTGAGGCACCCCAGTGAAAGGTTAGCAGGAAGCTGAGTATATGGGGCTGATGTATATGGATGATCCATGATGGAGATATAGATTTGAGCAGTAGGAAGTAATAGTTGAATGTGTGAATATTCATTCAATCATCCAGGAAGTATGTTCCAAGTGAGGAGACCTGACGTTTGAGACTAGAATACAAATAAAAATTGACATTTAAAGGATTGACAGTGGAAAGTCAGCTCAAGAAGGAGGAAGAGTAGTCAGAGAGGAAGGAGCAAACTCGAGGGAATCTGGCATCGTGGCAACTCAAGGAGTAGAATTTTGATCAAGGTGGGACTTGTGGAGACACATGGCTTTGCTATTTGGGCAAGGTAAGGACTAAAAAGACAAAGGAATTAGAGGCACCAGCATGAAAGGTTTTGATCAATAGAGAAGATGTAAAAAGTGGTTTCAAGAGGGATTAGGCAGAAAATATGTAGTCTACTTAACAGAAATCTGAATGAGAAGAAAAGGGAGGCTGGCTTATAGCTAGAGGATATAGGAGTCAAAGGATAATGATGACGATGATAATGACGGTGGTGGTGGTTGTGGTGGTAAAGTGCTTTGAGATTATAAGAAAAGAGACTTCAGTACGCTTCTAAATTGAAAAGGAAAAAGCTAGTAGAAAGCCTGGGAACATGGGACAGACGTGAGATGACACATGGAGGGAATTTGCAGGGGGGAACGTCTCATGCACTGACATCACAGAGGTGGGGAGGGTGCTGTCATATGATAGTCCCACATTTTTTATGATGTGGGAGATGAGGTCCATAGATGACTTGGTCTATCTGAACTAATACTCTGCCTGAATTTCCTTATTTCAGATTCCCTCTTCCTTTTGTCAGCAAACAATTGACTCTCCCTCAGACCTGCTGTCTGTGTCCTGCAGAAACCTTGTACATACACTATGGGAAGTGGTACCTCAACCCAACATCATTTTGCTTTCCAGAATGCAGAGAAAGGTATGTGTTTCCCATCTTCCAAACTAGCTGTGAGTATCCCCAAATCTACATTGCATGGGGAGGGGTTTCTCAGAATAGAATAAGGAAACCATTTTATTTCTCCTCAGGCAACCCTTGAAAATCAGCTTCTCCTCCTTGTGACAAGATCACCAGAATGTCAGCTGAATATCTTAGGAGTTGGTGAACTATATTTGACCTGAAGGAATCAGTGTTGTCCACAAGGGTTTATCCCAAATTATACATGTACAAGTGATTGAAATAAAGTTGGGCAAAAAGTAGATGAAAGAGCATTTCAGGTAGAGGGTTCAGTATGTACAAAGATCATGAGCTAGAAAGAAGTGAGGCATGTTTGAGGAACTGAATTGTCTGAAGTGAACAAGATGGAGAACAGCATAACATGAGGCTGCCGAGGTAGGCAAAGCCCAGATCACCCAGGGTCTATAGGATTTTAAATCTTATCTTAAGGGCATGAAGAACCATTGATGAATTCAAAATAGGGAGTTCATATTAAGATTTATGTATCAAAAGACCTCTGGCTTCTGTGAAGAAAGAAGGGAGAGAGTAAAAGTAGAAGAAGGAACAGTCTGAAAGCTACTAAAGTCATCTAAGCAAGAGATGCTGCTGCCTTAGTCCCGAGTTATTGGCAGCAGAGATGGAGAGAAGGTGAATTCTAACAATAGTTAGGAGGTGGAACTGACAGGACCCAACTGAGTAGATGTATGGAGTGAGGGAGAAGGGTGGATCAACAATGACTTCCAGTTTTCCGGCCAGCAAAACCGGGCAGTCAATAATGCCAATTACTGGCATAAAGATAGTGGAGGAGAAGCAACTTTGACTAGAGAGAAGATGGTGAGTTTATGCTGGGGTTGAGGTGGCCGTGAGATATGCAGGTGGAAGGACTGAGTAGGCAGTTGCGTATTCACATCTGGATTTTGGAGGTGAGGTTGGGCTGGAGAGATAAACGTTGGAAAACATTCAGAGTGTTACATGGTGGTTGAGGCCGTGGGGGTCTCTGAAGTAGCCTAGAGGGAGAGTAAAGATGGATCAGAGACCTGGGCCTAGGACAGAGCCATGAAGGACTCCAGGGCCTAACCACCAGGTGGAAGAGGATAAGTCAGAAAGGAGACTGAAGACAGGCAGCCAAAGACGTAGGAGGAAAGCAAAGGAAATCATGACAACACTTTGTTTATATGGGATGACGCATGTCTGTAAGCTCGTGGCTTCCTTACTTTCTAGGTTGGCAATATGTCCCAGGCTCATCTTGCACATTTTTGGCCCTGGAGTAACTTCTTCTTTAGGGTGTGGGGTGTCCCCTTGCTTCCAGTTGGCCTATATCTTTCTATAATTTTTCAATGAACAGATACAGAAATATGTATTATTTAGAAAAAACCCCAGCATGACTAATTTATATTTAGGAACACAGTATTTTTACTTAACAA